TCGAGCACCAGCTCGAGGCGCTCCGCGCGCGGCTCGACGCCGAGGCCGCGGCGCGCGCGGACGCCGAGGCCGCCGCGGCGGAGCTCCGGAGCGCGATGGCGTCGCCGGAGCGCCGCGCCGCCGCGCCCCGGGCCGAGGAGGCCCGCGTCGACGGCGCCCTCGTCGACGAGAGCAAGCGCATGCTCGACTACCTCCGGTCCGAGGCCTCGCGGCTCGCGCGCGCGAACGACGGCCTCGAGCGCGAGAACCACCGGCTCCGCGTCGCCAACGACCGCGTCCAGCAGGCCCACGGCGCGGCCCACGAGTCCTTCGCGGCGCTCAACTCCCACATCAAGCGCCTCGGCCGGACCGTGCTCGCGCTCAAGCGCGACGCGCGCGACCTCCGCCAGGCGAACGGCGTCTTCAAGGACGAGCTCGCCATGAAGCAGGCCATCTACGTCGCCGAGGTCGCCAAGGGCCTGCGGCTGGAGCAGCTCATGCGCACCATGGTCGACGTCTGCGACGTCCGCGGCGCGGACCCGGAGCTCGTGGCCGAGCTCCGCGCGATGGCGGACGCGCGCGCGCTCCACGACGGCGGCGTCCGCGACGCGGAGGTCGCCGCCGGCGGCGAGGAGGCGGCGCAGCCGGGCTTCTGGGGGCGGCTCATCGGGCGGGGGTCCTAACGGGGCTGCGCGAGCCGCTGCGATTGCCGAGCAACACGCGACGGTCCGTCGTGGTCGGCGCGCCGCTGGTCGCCGCCAGTCAGCCAGCGGCCGCAGCCTACAGCGTCGTGAAATCCGACGACGAGTGGCGCGCGCAGCTCGGCCCCGAGGGCTACGAGATCTTGCGTCGCGGCGGCACGGAGGCGCCGAACTCGAGCCCGCTCGCGCGATACTGACGATGAAGAAGGACATGGGCGGCGCGGCGCACGTGCTCGGGCTCGCGGCCATGGTCATGGACGCGGGTTTGCCGGTGCGGCTGCGCGTGCTCATCCCCGCGGTGGAGAACGCCGTGTCCGGCGACGCGTTCCGGCCCGGCGACGTGCTCGCGGCGCGCAACGGCAAGACGACGGAGATCGGCAACACGGACGCCGAGGGGCGTCTGGTCCTCGCGGACGCGCTCGTCGAGGCGTGCGCCGACGCGCCGGAGCTGCTCGTCGACTGCGCGACGCTCACGGGCGCGGGCCGCGTCGCGCTCGGGACGGACGTGCCGGCGCTCTTCGCCAACGAGGAGGGCGTCGACGTCGCGGACCAGCTCGTCGCCGCGTCCGCGGGCGAGCAGGACCAGGTCTGGCGCCTGCCGCTCTGGCCGGGCTACCGCGAGCAGATCGACTCGAAGATCGCCGACCTCAAGAACATCGGCGCCGGCCCCTACGGCGGCGCCATCACCGCCGCGCT